TTTAAAGCACAGTTATACGTTTAAGAGGAGACATATTTGAATTTTTACCTCTGAAAGGGCGAGTTGCATCGCTTCCTGAAACACTAAGTTTGATAGGGTCGAGGTTACATCATCCTTGTATATCTCAACAAAATTTTGGTTGTGCCATGGAAAGGAAATTGATCTTGAAGACTAATTCAAAGCCCTCGGAAGGACTGGTCTTAATAAATATATTGTGTTATTTTCTGGGCCCAGTACTCACCAATTATTATTGCAACGGATTAGAAGAACTTTTTCACATCTGCCGGAGCGATACCAGTTCGCTGATACAAGCGAAAAACAGAAAGAACGAAATTAAAACATTTCGCTAGAAAAAATGCACTGGAAAGTCAAACAGATGATTTTAGTAGCCATATACAGAGAAAGTATAGCACAATTGGTCTCATCAGTGTGTAAATTAAGTGCACCTGCAATGCATCTGTTACTAAAGACAAGTCAGAGGTACCTGCAGATGGAAAAATCCCTTATCTTTTTTAAACAGGTACAACAAAAATTAAAGCACGGAAACAAGAACCTTGGTTTTCAACTCAAATGGCATTGAAATCTTTGAGGCGTTTTGTTTTAAATTAGATCGTCTAACAAACAAAAATGAAACTGTCAACAAGCTGATAGGTTTACTTTCAAAATGTCTATTTTGTTTCAGTCGAACAATTTTAATTTAATGGGTCTGTGATACGATTTCTGGATTCAAATTGCCGCTACACTGAGATATCCACGGATTTAAAGCCTTTTGCGAGTTTTTTTTCCTTTATTTTTCCTTTATTTTTTTTTTACAAATAATTATGCACAGCATGCACGTTTATCTATCGCCAAGTTTGCGCTAATTTGAATCCGAGTTTTGTATTTTGTTTCAGTTGAACAATTTTAGTTTAATGGGTCTGTGATACGATTTTCTGGATTCAAATTGCCACGAGACTGAGATATCCACGGATTAAAAGCCTTTTTCAGTTTTTTTCCTTTGTTTCCCTTGGTTTTTTTTTACAAATGATTATGCAAAGCATGCACGTTTATCTATCGCCAAGTTCGCGCTAATTTGAATACGAGGTTTGTAGTTTTAACTGAATTACATGACAGTACACATTTTATGTAGATTCTTCTCGAAACTATACTATGAAAGGATGTAAACTTCCAAACTTTAAACTTCTATCTAAACTTCCAATAGCCATCAGCCATTTAAAAGGTGTTCGAACGAAAATATACGAAATAGTCACCGATCTGGACAGACGTAATAAATTCGCGCTGGAAAAACAAGGATTTTATTTGCAATTGATGTAATCGATTTAGCCGTACGTGACTCGGCAGTAGTTGTTTACGTGTGTAAATATGAAAATATAATTAATTAGCCGTAAAAGCATGTACTGAAATAAGAGCAATTTTATAGCTGTTTACACTAATTAGCTAACCAGAAGTCGAGCGAATTTCTGTACAGATGCAGCGGGCTGCTTTCGGTTCACTTTTTTTTTCAAGCCTATATAAGGGAATACTGCGATTCAATGATCCTTCAGGGGCCTTCTGTTTACCTGCGGTCAAATAACTGACAGTCCTATTAATTTATTGCCTACAATTGACTTGCCCGCGGCACTTTTCTTGTATTCGCAAGAACATCTGCATTTAACTTAGTGGATACCGGTGAAAAACGATCTGCAAAACATAAGCCGATTCTGAGGCACCGACTGTTAACTATTACCGACCGGCAGTCCTGTAGATTTCAACTCTTGTGGTAATATAGAAGGAAATTGTTCACATCAAACTAAACGAAATGAGTGGGCAAAATCTGACAGTTTCATGTTCGGAAGGTTCACTGGGGAATTTACACCTGCAATTGACATTTCTGTTGGTTTTAAATATTTTCCTCGCCATTGTAACCATCTTGGGGAACAAGCTGATTCTTGTTGCTCTACACCATGAGTCTTCCCTTCATCCGCCGTCCAAACTCTTGCTTCGTGGTCTGGCCACCACTGATCTTTGCGTCGGACTAATCTCCCAGCCTGTTTGTGTTGCCTTTTGGGTCTCAATTGTAGTCAAAAACTGGACCATTTGTCGATACTCGAGAATGTTGCGTTTTATCCTGGGTTACCTTCTAGGTTCTGTGTCTTTGTTGACGTTGACTGCAATCAGTGTTGATCGACTACTCGCTTTGTTATTAGGGTTGCGATACAGACAGGTTGTAACCTTAAAGCGAACATACTTGATTTTAGCTGTCATTTGGGTAATTTCAACTTTCGCTGCGGTAATCTCACTTTGGAACGACCTTATCACAACATGGTATGGCTACATTGGAATATCACTGTGTTTAGTTATCTCATCGTTTTCGTACTCAATCATTTTCTGGAAACTCCGCCAACATCAAACTCAATCGCATGTACAGACAAATGCGGAGACAAGTCCACTGAACGTCACGCGATATAAAAGGGCAGTCACTAGTGCGTTGTGGCTGCAGTTGGCTTTAATAACTTGCTATCTACCATATGAAATTACCGATATTATATACAATCTGAAAGATCTCACCCCATCAGTTTTTCTCGCTGCTCAATGTGGGATCATTTTAATCTACTTAAATTCAGCACTGAATCCCATTCTTTATTGCTGGAAGATCGCTGAGGTGAGACAAG